AAAAAAAAATCATTTTTCTTTTAAGGTATTAAAAAAATATAATTTGAAGGCTCATGTTATTTTCTCTTTTTTAGAAACATTTGTCAAGTTTTATTTGGCGTGAAATAAAAAATTAAATCGTTTAGTAATAGAAGGTTAGGCATCGATCGTTTTCGTTCAGTAACATGAACTTTTGACCGGAGTCAACGTCAAATGCGGAAAATTATCATGGAGAATGGAAAAAGAAATAGGAATAAATACGGAAAATATTGGGAGAATAGTCGGAAGAATATTCATTTTCCTAAAAAATTAAGACTCGTTCAAAAATGAGAACTTTTCTCCGACTCAACATTAGTTGGGACAGAAAATTAAATGTACTAAGTCTATTTCTAAGATTGGAGTCTGAGAGTCGTATTCTAGAACTCTATTCAATGCTCAAGTCAGGATTGCACTGGCAACACAAGCGCTGTAAATACGACCCTAATGGCAGGGACTTGGGTATGATTTCGAGTGCTTTAAACCATACTCAAATCCTGACTTGAGCATTGAGTAGAGTTCTAGACTACGACCCTAAGTCTAAATTATCAACATAGCAATTTGTTGTTTCTTTATTTTAAATCAAGTCATACAACCATCTATATAGATTTTAAGACTTTCGTGGTTATTCACTAAATGATCCCTGAGTCAACGCCCCTGAGATCTTTGCGGCTTAAGGCTCTGCGTGACACTTATGGACAGGTGTGTTACTTAATACCAGGCGCTCGACTTATCCGTTCTGTCATTTATATTATAAAAAAAATGAAATCAATCTGAATGTATCGTAGCATATAGCATTTGTTTGTAATGTAGAATTGTTTCTACCAGCGACAAACGTTTTTCCTAAATAACTAATGAAAAACATTAAAAAACGTCGTTGTCAGTATTGCACACGTCAATATCACCTAAACTCATTTAGCCGTTTCGATATGATAGAGTGACAAACATCCCTACAAATATTATATATATATTTAAAATAGTTTGATAAGCAAGAACAACAGCGGAATTAATTTTCTACTTGTAATGCGTGATGGACGAACGCAATGTTATTGGTGAAATTGATTATTTTAATTTTAATGTCTGTATCAGTAGAGCTCCTTGTGAAAGAGTTCGTCCAGGTCAGTACTGCTACCTATTTCTGCCGCAAGCAGTAAATGTGAGCATTACTGCGTTCCGGTCTCGAAGGGAGCTGGTGAAATTACAAGCACATGAGACTTATCAACTTATGTCTCAGTGACACGTTGATCGTCAGATCTTTGTGCTTTTTCTTGTGGACGTTACCATCCTGCATGGCGAGGGTCTCGTGAAAGCCGAAGCCGAGAAACGCCGGAAAGTACCTCGACTTGGCGCACGAGATCACCGACATGTGGGATGTGGCCTCCACTGAAATAATCCCGATAGTTTTGTCCGCAAATGGGTTAATTCCAGTCAGTCTTGCGGCACGTATTGTTCGTCGGTTCTTGAACCTGAGTTCCAACAACACCAAGGACGAGCGCCAGCGAGGCCTTGTATTAATACGAGTCAAGCAATCCCCGTTCTCGCCGTTGCATGTATAGAATTTTTCACAAACAATGCGAGGAAATAAAAGACTAAAGAGACGAAGATGTGTAAAAGAAAAAGTAAAAAAAATAATTAATTACCATTAAAATTTATGTAATACAATTGCTAAAAGAAAATGTGGAAAAACAATAAGTTTTTCCAGGCACATTAATAGTAGGCTGCTTCTGATGATGTATTTGACCGTGTATCTATTACTGTATTTTCGACATCGCTTTTCTCACTAGCACTCATTTTCGCGACCAAAATACAAAAAGACGAAATAACAAAAGAATACCAAAACACTTTAAGGATACCGCCATTTTCTTTTTTTTAACTAAGCGGTATAGGTAGGTATTGTTGGTTATACGCCCTAGTAGGTAGATTTAAAAGTTTAGAGAAGTGGACAGTAATGGGTTTTCACACTTACTTTGCAGGCCTTGCCCCGGAAGAAGTCGCACGGTCCTTAAATGACAAACTTTCCGTGTTCGTTTTTTGAAAGTAATGCAAACATTTCCGAGCACGTTTGAGCAAAATAATGACGCCCTGTCGGCAGGGCGCCGAGAAGGACGGCTACAGCGAGCAGAACCTGGTGGACGGCAGCATCGCGGCGCGCGCGGACTTGCCGTCGGCCTGCCGCCTCATGTGGTTCGTGGAGCCCATGGCGTGGATGCAGCGCGTCGCGCACGACGCGCACGGGAAGCTGCTGTGCCCCAAGTGCAGCACCAAGATCGGCTCCTTCAGCTGGGTCATGGGTGGGTCTTACTGTTACTTGTGTCATTTATAATCGCACGCACTGGACACGCAATTATTCCTTCGAATACGTTGACCTACCAATAAATGGACATCGGGTTCGCGCTTAAAAGTGTCCGCATCTATAGGGCGTTAAAATCACATACAGAGCGTCAATCGCGCAACAGTTTCGTTTGTCCGACTGTCAGCGCGGTTGTCAACCATGCAGTACCATATAAAAATAACTTGTAAAAATTACTGCAGTAAAGTGTAAAAACAGGGTTTTGTGTCATATTTTCACTAAACAAATATATTGTGTTATCATAGTTCTCATTTAAAAATGTTATTTTGTACAGTTTTATAGTATTTAATTTATATATAAATGACAAAAGCACACAAAATAATCAATTAGCTAACTGCCCTTTTTCTACACATTGCATGCGCAAAACATGGAAAGAGAACCATTGTGTCAATTTCAAGAAGCTTATATATAAACTGGGTCATTTTTAATTGTTCGAACCACAAGCGATTGAAATATTTAGAACAAAGAAACTGTAGAGTAGCTTTGATTTTAATCTTATTTTTAAAATGGTTTTTATTAAACGTTAGCAATAACTGACAAAATATTGTTGTACTCGTTTTACGGCATGGGATTTACCTATCAGAAGTCAGAAAATACATTTGCCCGAAATAACGTTAGCTCGAATTTTCATAATGTCAAATGTATTTTTTTAGGAAGATTACAAAATAAAAACTAATTTTGTCTTGGTGAAAAGCATTAAAATTACACAAAAGCGTAACGGTTTTATTATAAATCGGTTTTCGGAATTACGGGTATTTCAGTTTACATTTAGTTGGAATATCGGTACATTTCTTATAGTACACGCTTAATTTCACATTTGTAATATAATAATATTTGTATATATGTATCTGCCGAACTCTTTATTATTTCTTTAAGTGAATTTGTACAAAATTCGACATAATAATATATATAAAAATTAATAAATATTTACGATAAAGGCTACTCCATTACTCTTGTGTTCAAGTAATTTTCAGTCGAAGCTAAATATGGTGCATTTTGTTAAGTTTCCTAGAAGCTAAATATGGTGTTTTTGGGTCCTTAAATCGTCGTAAGTAAATTTAGGCAGT